CCGCCGCCGCTAACGAGCAATTAATTAATGAATTAATTCATTAATAAACCGCCGCCGCCACCACGGCCACGCCCCGGGATCTGGCGGGGGGGGGGAGTTTGGGGGGGCCGGACCCCCATGGCCGGGGAATGGTGGGTGGGACCCCGGGGGGCTGAACCCACGGGGGGGGGGCTGAACCCCCCCAGCACCCAAAGGGGGTCCTGACCCACCCTCAGCACCCAAAGGGGGTCTTGACCCACCCTCTAACACACAAAGGGGGTCCTGACCCACCCTCAGCACCCAGTGGGGGTCCTGACTCACCCCCAGCACCCAAAGGGGGTCCTGACCCACCCTCAGCACCCAGTGGGGGTCCTGACTCACCCCCAGCACCAAAAGGGGGTCCTGACCCACCCCCTAACATACAAAGGGGGTCCTGACCCACCCCCAGCACCCAGTGGGGGTCCTGACTCACCCCCAGCACCAAAAGGGGGTCCTGACCCACCCCCTAACACACAAAGGGGGTCCTGACCCACCCCCCAGCACCTAAAGGGGGTCCTGACCCACCCTCAGCACTCAATGGGGATCCCAGTCCCCCCAGCACCCAAAGGGGGTCCTGGTCCCCCCCAGCACCAAAAGGGGGTCCTGACCCACCCTCAGCACCCAGTGGGGGTCCCGGTCCCCCCAGCACACAAAGGGAGTCTCGGGCCCCACCAGCACCCACAGAGGGTCCTGACTCATCCCCCAGCACCCAAAGGGGGTCCTGACCCACCCACAGCACCCAATGGGGGTCCCGGTCCCCCCAGCACACAAAGGGGGTCCTGGCACCCCCCCAGCACCCACAGAGGGTCCTGACTCATCCCCCAGCATCCAAAGGGGGTCCTGACCCACCTCGAGCACCCAATGGGGGTCTCAGCCCCTCCAGCACCCCATAAGGGGTTTCAGGCCCCCCCAGCATCCAAAGGGGGTCCTGACTCACCCCCAGCATCCAAAGGGGGTCCTGGCTCACCTCCAGCATCCAATGGGGGTCCCAGCCCCCCCCAGCACCCAATGGGGGTCCTGGTCCCCCCAGCATCCAAAGGGGGTCCTGACCCCCCCACAGCACCCAATGGGGGTCCCGGTCCCCCCCAGCACACAAAGGGGGTCTCGGGCCCCCCAGCACCCAAAGGGGGTCCTGATTCACCCCCAGCACCCAATGGGGGTCTTGGTACCCCCCCAGCACCCACAGAGGGTCCTGGCACCCCCCCCAGCACACGAAGGGGGTCCTGACCCATCTCCAGCACCCAAAGGGGGTCCCGGTCCCCCTCAGCACCCAATGGGGGCCCTGGCACCCCCCCAGCACTCAAAGCGGGTCCCAGCCCCCCCAGCACCCACAGAGAGTCCTGGCACCCCCCCAGCACACGAAGGGGGTCCTGACCCACCTCGAGCACCCAAAGGGGGTCCCAGTCCCCCCAGCACCCAAAGAAGGTCTTGCCCCCCCCCAGCACCCAAAGGAGGTCCTGACCCACC